ATTGAATGCAAACTTTAAATGTTTCTTGCATCTATTAAAGTCGGATTGTTCTTTGTCAAGATAAAATACTAATATAATAAAAATGAAAACTTCATGATTTACCTTCTTCATGTATACACAAATATTATACACCATCTGTGAAAAACCTTATGATTTCATGAAATCTCGCTATCCATTGCTTCTTTGAAAGCTTCTTTCATTCCATAGTAAACTTTTAGCAATTTACAAACCAAGTTATTTTGATTTTTCCTCAAAGTCAACTAGTTGTCTCATGTAGATTTTTTACTTGAGAATTCATTGAAAAATGATATAACTACATTCATTTAATCTATAACAAGACTAAATATTGCAGCTAATACATATACCAAATAAATTGTAGCATACTAGCTACATGTGAGATTAATCTATATTTGATTACTTCTTTTTTTTTAAACCTTTAACAATCAACCTGGATTTAAAAATTCTCTTATAGTCACCTATGTGACTGTCATTTAGCTTATACATTCATTTGCAATCAATCAAAGTTTGATTTCTAGGATGCTCAACTAGCTTTCAAAATTTGTTATCAATTGGTAACTGCATTTTGCGCATCATAAAAGCATTTCAAAAGCTTGAACTTCTTTATAAAAAAAAGGTTTTGCTTTTTCCAAGATCAACGCAACCTATCACCTATATCAATGTCACAATCTTCAAGTGTAGATGAATCAGCCTATAATTCATATCTTGCAATGAATTCAATTAAATGATCTCAAAGTAGAAAAATGCTGATTGAAATCTTTTGTATAGTGCAGATATTCAAGGCTCACCAACAATAACATGCTTCTTTAATTTCTATTCCTTAGGAATTTGCTCCATCTATAGCTCAGTGTTTTTTTATGTCACATTATTAATGACATAATGCTCAAACTTCCTCTCACAAACATATATGAGTGAAGATTTTTTCTCGTCAATACAAATATTCTAAGAACTTTTCTTTTCTTTTGATGATCTTTTATCATTGGCAAAAATATATAATAATAATATAATAATAATAACTTCACAAGTTACTAGATCTCAAAACTTATAATTTTTCACATCACTAGCATATACAAGAAAACTACATTTTTATGTAGTTTTCTTGAAACTTTTGATGTTGATGTAAGATCCAACTTGAGAATATTCTCCTTGAAAATGAAAGTATAAGCAATACAATCAAAATTTCTTCAAAAACTAAAATCAATCAACCCTTTGTGCATCGATTCAAACACTGTGAAAAAATTGATTGCACTTGAAGAAGAAATGTTCACCAAATACATTGCGGTACATACAACTTCACATTGAAATTCATATGGTAAACCAGATTGAATCAACATACTATGCACCTTCTTCAACATTGTTTGATTGAACACTTTTCCACATTTTGTTGCAAAATATCAACCGTGATAAAGTAACAAGTAATCTACTCCTCTTTGTAGTAACTTCAAAACTCCTCGAAAGTATACTTTCTGCCATTATACATACGTAAATATCTCAACTTGTTTAACTAACAAGATTTACTTTGGATTTAATTTGATAGCAACCTAAAGCAAGGTATGCAAATCTTCTAGCTCGGGCCAAACCTTCATTTCAAGTGTCGGCCCAAACCCTAATTTTTTTCTAAAATCTATCACGTGTTGTTTTCAAAGAAAAAAAACAGCGTGATACAACGAATATAACTCACGTTTTGTAGATTTAGGAATTTGAAAAAATACTGCACCAACCAAACTGTTTTGAATATCAACTTGATGATGCAAAGTTTATACGGTTTGTTACAGTTCTTTTTGAACTAAAAAAATGATTCAACTAGTTAGCAATCGTATGATGAGATGTCACAACAATAAAAATCGGACTCTGACATCAATTGTTGTATCTCCGATTTGTTCCTCAGACAAGCTCATACATAGAATACTTCACAATAATCACACCAAAGTACGTTATTCACCTCCACATAAGGCTACGTCCACGGCCCAAAGAAAAAGCTTCACTAAAGCAAGAATGTACATCAGACTCTCATAATCAAGATCTCCACTATCTCTCTCCACTGAGTTGTACATGTGAGACTAAAACAAAAATTTGCTTGTCCTTAGATTAAGTCTCTAACTAGGATCCAAGTCTAATTAGTATTAGACTAACTATGGTTAACAAGATGCGGGTTAACTTTACAACGCCATGTATATTCAATTTAGTATTAGTTATGACTAAATTGAATATAATGAGGATATGATTATTAACAATCTTTATAATATATAAGTTAAAAATCGTGTTTTTGATTTGCAAAAGATATAATTCAAAAGCTATCTATTTCATTATTTGAACAATTTGTGGAGTCTAAAGTGATGCATTATCATCATACAAGAATCATATGAAATGTTTGTGAAAATGAATTCATGTGCTAAATGTGTATCTATACGATACAAGTTCTGAAAAGATTTCATAAAAAATTATTACTGCATTAATTTCATTAATCATTTAAATCCAATTTTTTAATGTCTTACAATTACATGAGACTTTTCATTTATATAATTTGAATTGAGGAAAGATTTTTCATATGTTTTTATTTTTTGTGTATGTATTACTTAAATGCATTAAAAATAAAAAATCCTTCAAAAATTATGTATGCACATGTATATTTCAAATTCAAAACCTATCAATATCATAATAAATCTAATTGTTAATGAAAGTGTATAAATCATTATGTGAAATATCAATTAATAGATTAAACTTTACATTATTTTTATGCTAGCGAAATGAATTACAATACAAAAATTATTTGAATGTTTACAATATTGTACCTTATAGATACAAAGATTATTACTTGGAATAATTAAGAACATGAAATGTGCAGGTGATATTATTGTTAAAGACAAGCACAATTTTGACTATTGTTTTCAACTTTTTCAAACATTTGTTTTGATTGAAAAATCTGATATAGTGAAGGATGTTCCATTATTTGGTGATAAAAGTTTTAATATCATAAGATAAAATGTTCATCTTATGATATTAAAACTTTTCATCATTGGTGAATCTATATAATATAATAATAAGTCTTTAAATAAACTTCTCATTTGAGGAAAAAAATCTTACACAATTGATGTTGGCTAGAGGTTAAGTTACTAACACACAAGTTGGTAATGCCATAACATTACCTGAATGATTATGGTAATGTTATGGCATTGATTGCAAATGTTAATAGTAATAAATTATAACAGTCATATCTTTCATGTACCAGAGATATTAAGTGTGTTATAATCTAACTGATATAATCATGATTAGATCAAGCCTAAGAATAATGATCAAAATGTAGCAAATCAGGTCATGAATTTGAACAAGCATATGATCATATCTACGTGTAACAATGTGCTGAAGCATATGACAATAGAAAGTAATTTTCATATCTCGCAGTGGAGAGTAACTTAAACCATCCGAAAATCTCGGCCTATGAGGACTAATCTTAGACGTCACCTGTATAATGTTTACGAAAACTCAGAAATGTATACAGTAGAACCTCTATAAATTTATACTCCATAAATTTATAACCTCCAAAAATTTATCAAATTGTGCGGTCCCGGCATGGGACCAGGCCAAAAATTTATAATCTTATAACTTATCAAGTTTTGGCTGCCCCGAATTTTTTATAAATTTATATTCAGGTTGATGTGCTTTCCGAGCTACATTTGTACGACTATGATCGACTAAAGAAACTTGTAATGGTTATCTGCCTAAGCTTTTGTTCACATTTGTTTGTTGGCTGCTTAAGTATCTGACGTGGGTTAGGGATTTTCCTGGGTTAAGTTGTTTACATTTTGAGAAGTTTTCTTCTACACAGTCCAACTATATACAGTACGCCAGGATACAGTGCCCTACACACCTCATTACAATACCACAGCCAATACACACGGAACATGGGTATCAAACAACTTTTATGTCTTTTCGAGGTCCTACATTCCTTGCCGTAACCTTCCTAACCTTCCATACCTTTCTGCAACCTTCCGGATGCTTCTGAGACCAATCAAGCAAAATTAAATGAATCAATTTTAATAAACTCTAGAAACTTATCAACTCTATAAACTTATCAAAAAGGTCCGGTCCCAGCTTGATAAGATTATAGAGGTTCTACTGTATTGTTCGATTATCAAGAAAAAATTATATAAAATGAGAACATCTTGATTGTGTTTGGTTTTTCCTGCAACAATTGATGTAACCCAACACTGATCAGAAAGATCATGATATTAGTCCCACATTAAAACCTGCATTCTCAGAGACATCAAAGCATCGATTGTTAGATGACACTATAAATGCAAAAAAAATGACACCCATTGCAAACTTTAGAGTGCAGACATGCCCATACATATACATACACTTACTTCACACTTGTAGAATGCTGATTAGTCGATTCTTTTCTCACTAAGATTGTGGAAGCAGACGCTTGTACTAAAAGTATCCCATATCTTATACTTACTCTTTTGGAAAAAATAGAGTGTTTTAATATAGAAATCAAGGCTGTTTAAATTAATATGAAATATAGGTTGTACTGCATATCAGTGCATGGATCATATCAAACACAGCATTTCCAATAAATTTTTAACCAAAATAAATGAAAAACTTTCTTCACCCACTTTTAGTTGCCAGATTTACTTACCCTGATTATGCTTGTCAAGAAGAATATACATGAAATAGCCTGAGCTTAGCCTTTTGTGTCATGCGAGAATTAATTGCAGATTTCGTAGCTATGTAGATATGAGTTACGTCAGCGGTGTTCAAACAAGCTAAGAGTATAGAGAATGGTTCATAATATGGGTTTTGGAAAAATATGGATGCGTATGACACAAACGTAGCCAGTCCTTTTTGTGCTAGGATTTCGATTCAACATCATAGGTGGTGAAACTAAGGTAAGTGTGTAGTACCCATAAATGTAACCAATAAATAAAATCCTTACGACGTCTTCAGGGTACACGACTCAATATGGACAACATAACATCTTGAATTTTGTTTTATTGCTTACATTTTTCATTTTATAAAAGCTTGATGTTCAAGATAGCTGGAAAGCCATTGCCTAAACGATTCAATTGTTACATAGGCGTTATCTGATTACCTGGAACATGATACATGTACAACACTATAGGCCACGTGGGTGGCCTCGAACTAGAGTGTAAGATTGGCTGATGTGCTGATTTGACATCAATAAAATTTAATATCACAATTATATACAACTTGAAAAAAACTTTTCGTCAAGATGATGCATTTCGCTCAAACTAGAAGAGGTTGGCGTTCATCGCATTGAACTCGTACAGAACTCCGCTTCCGACTCTCAAAGTATTTCGCCTGTTGGCCAAACAAGACAAACCGAAACAAGTCTCAGATTGAGCTGACTGGGAACCGTTGACTCATCATACTGGGAGCAAACTACATCGCATTAAAAGCCATGGGGTAGAGAGGTTCCTTCAATCTCAGCAGCCTTCTTCCTCATATATTTGAGATCATTCACTAACCCAAAACCCACTCACCCAACACACCCTCTTTGCCTCAGTGACTTTCGTTCGAAAAACAAGGTATTCCAAGATTCTCCGTGAGGACTAATGATCAGATTAATTTCTTCAAGACAGGAAAAAGTAGAGAAACTAATGACCTGACAAACGATGAAGATGTCCATTGATACTGTACCCAAGCTCCCCAAGAGCCAAGGTGCCTTGGCTTCAAGTTCATTCCTGTCGAGAAAAATCCAGTAAAGTCTTTAAGTGGAACAAATTCAACATACAAAAACAACGTTCGTAGAAATCTACCCATGATGAAAAGTAATATCTTAATACAAGGGCAACAGAATATCGACCTATGCTTGTCACAGTCAAACTTACACTAACGAAGTGAGGAGAATGAACATACCAAGACTCCGATCGCATCAGTATAGAGATACCCATGCAAGAATTTGCACAAGCAGCGCAGGTTAGCATTGCCAGAGATAAACCCTCTGCCGACTGTCGTCGACCATTTAGTGCAATCTGAGAAATCCGTGAACCCAGATAAAGTCCAGACGATGCCCACCTGAAAACAGTCCAAAAAGCTGATCACAACTAGCCCAAAGGGAATGAAGGCGATTGATTATTCGTACTGCTGTCAAAATGAATTTCGCTTATCCATTCCCATAAAGCAAAGACTTAAAATTTTGGGTTTATTACAGTACCCAAGCCAGGTTCCTACGGCTTTCACCCATGGGGAACGGAAGCTCTCTTCACAAAGAACGCCGACCGCCTTCCAGGTTGAACCAGTCCGTTTCTCCTCGAGCATTCTTCGATAACCTGTGGTCTGAGGTAGAAAACTTTCGGACCGCCCCGAGGTTTTGAAATAATTTGTGGAAGTCCCCACAGCAATAAAACTGGCCAAACAAGCAGCACCTCTAACAGGCGGCTTCGATAGAAGCTTATGCGGAATATGTCTTAAGCCTTTTAGTCTAGTCCTCCTCCTCTCCACCTCATGCTTAAGTAAGCTGCTAGTGTGGTGGATAGTGATTCTGGATGCATGTGGAGGACCACAATCCAATCCATAACGATTCGCCACTGAACGCTTTTGACGTTGCATCTCCTTTTCCGACGAGAACAACCTCTGGCACTCAAGCTCGAGAAGGTCACCATGTTCTAAGATATCTAAACGCCTCTGCAGGCATCGAATCAATTCCTCCCTCGTCAAACAGCTGTTAGCACGGATCTGAGCTTCAGACTTCGTCTTGTCTTCCAAAACTTGTGTTGTTAACCTTCCTTTCTCTTGCTCAGCTGGAGTTGCTGAAAACTTCTTCACGACATCCGCACGTGGTGATTGATCAATACTAAGAGGAGACTGCATTGCATGAGTAATCATAGCAGCTCCTGAACGGCCAGCCACGTATGTGACAGGATGATACTGATGGACATTTGCAAGGAGGTGATTTCCATTTCTATCTTGTACCGGTCCACCAGTGTCATGTATATGACGCATATACTCTCCTGCAGCATGCAACAGATCCAACTTAGGTCTTAATAAATAAGATTAAGATAAGCCATTTACTCGTGAGGTACGCTTGACTGTCCCGACAAGCTGTTCCTAAAAACTCAAAGTCAACACAAAGCAGGTAGAATCGCCTTTTCAAAATACATCCCGCTTTCTTGTCACACTGACTCAGATACATTGGAGGACTTGTGTCGACAAACTGAGACCATTGAAACATAATAGAAGGTTCAGACACTGAATGCTCAGCTGATTTTTCTACCTGAATCAGGAATTACTATGGTCATCTTGGCCAGCCGCTTCCGGAACTCCAAAAGGTCGTCCGGTGTGGGAGGTTGATACTCGGTGACCGCCTTGATGACAACATCCTCTGCTTCCTTTTCTTCCTCGGTTAAAACAAGCTTCTCCTTCGCACGTATGCTGTAAAATATGTACTGCATTGCCAAAATATACTTCTGATTATTGAACACGAAAGGAAATCACCTGCGACCATCTTGATGGAAAACCTGGAAGCTTCCCGCATATTTACAACTGATGCAGAAGCAAGTTCATAATTAGCTCGTGTATCCTGGTGAGACTAAGCAGCAGTAGAAGTGCCAGTAACCAACTGAGCAAAATAATGTACCCTCGCTGGTATAGGATCCACATGAAAGCCAATCCTATGTCGTTATATGGATCATACCTGACTGATGATTAAGCAATCGGAAAAAATGAAGTAAGTGGCAGTGAGAGTCTCCGTGGCCAACTGATCACCAGTTAGAAGACAGCCCAGCAGATTGAATGAATCTCCCTGAACGCAAACCAACCAAAAAAGGATAGATCGTAAGGTATAGCTTTGCTTAAAGCCAAAATATCACGCTTCTCATAATGTTCTCAGATGGATTGCGAAATCTACAAAGGGCTCCATTGATTTCCTAGGCTCTTCTCCTTTTCTCTCAGGAATTCAAATTCTGTTGAAATTGGAATCTGTCAAATTTGTTTTTAATGCATATTGCAGCGATTACCTTTTAGAACTTCATATACCGTTTCTTCATGAGTAAACGAAGGGAAAATACTTTCAAAGACCGGAAACAGATTGCAGGGTTTTGCAGAGTTCGCTTACCGATAGCCACTGGAAGAGGAACCAGGGAGAAAGAGCGTCAGCACTTTGATGCTTTATGTTGCTTATAAACTGTGGCAATTGCGCCACGATCCAGAATAAGACAGAGGAGAGTCCAATGCAGAAGCCAGCCAAATCCCATGTTGTATACACGCAGTCACTGAACCACTCCTTAACAAATAGATTCGCATTTGGCTCGCACTCGCAGTTTCCAGTTCCGAACGCTCCGAACATACCGAAACCAGATGAATCCCAGAAGCCTCGAGGCGTAGATTTGAAACTCTCCGTGAATGAGCTCGCTCGCTGAGGCAGAAACCTCAATCCCAGGTACTAGAGCATCCGAATACGGGTGAATGCATTCAAGGCCTTTCCCAGGTCATGCTCCAATGGCGCCAGAAGCAGAACGGGTTAACAACCTCGTACGAAGTGAACGAATTCGGCCATGAATCTTTCCACGACCACATCTAGCAGCAGCCACAACTCCTCCTGCAACAACAACATAAAATCTGCTTGCACCAGAACTGACAGCACGAGAGCTTGGGAGCCATCATCCTTCGTCCCATGAGAAGAAGCAACTCCAAATCTTCCCGGGCACGCACCTTCGAAAACATCACACATTCACAAGAAACAGAGCCAGGGCGAGCATCTCTTATCTCCTCGGGGATGGCCCGAACAAGACAGACAGCAGCCACGCTTCGTGCAGCAACCGAGAGACAATTTGCGCAAGTCAATCAATGGTCACAGACACACCCGGAGTCGAGGCTTCCGAGACTCAGCGAGCTGCCGGGACCGAGGGAACATCATAAATGCGGACCACCGCGAGCACGGGACGGGGCAATTCCCACCTTGTCCTCCGCAGGAAACAGTCAAATTCGCCGACTCTGCTCGCCTCTCTTCGTGGAAATTGCACCGTCGTCGCTGTCACACTGCTCCAGCTCGCCATCCCCTGAACCCCGCCCGTGACGGTTACCGTCGAAATGGACTTGTTCGCCGTCCACGTACAATGGCGGGGCCAAAGCTTTGGCGCTTGTGCATCCACCTCGAGGCCTTATTATTTTAGTCCCAATTAGTGACATCAGGGTCCAATTAGTGCACAGCTCCGCTAATCAAAGGGGGTCCGGTTAGGTCGGACCGGAGTCCGGAGTCCGGACTCCACATCATCGCCTTGGTCCGAAATTAGTAGTGCTGGAATTAGATTTACCCGCTTTGCTACTTCCTTGTACGGCTGGATTCCATGTTTTCCTCTTTGGTCATCTACTCGGCCCCCGGGGTTCACCGGAATTAGTTCGCCGGTCCAGGAGTCCTAGACCTGCAGTTTCTGGTGAGGACGGGGGGGCGCTGGCAGGGCAGGGCCTTACAGGGCCTTACTGTACACGTAGATACCACCTCGGTTGGCGCAGGCTTGCTGAGAAGGCCGACAAGCGGGATGCATGCGCTGACGTGGATGGTAAAGTCGCACGGTCATGTTATTTCTCGTGGGACGATACAGAATGGTCTCGAGAGTCTCAATGACGGCTTCAAAAAATCCTTTTTCACACTGTGGCAACTTGCTCAACTATATCCCCGTTCCATTCTGTACAGCACCCACTTCGTTTAGAAGCCGAAAATGAAACGTGCAAAATATTTTATAAAGGGGAATTCGGCAAAGCTTATCAAGAGCGGATTAGAGAAAATGACCAAACCCCGTGAAAAAGGTCAAACTGAAAGTGACAGAACTCTTATAATAACAATCTAGATGTAATCATATCAAATATATCATAACATGGCCTAGCTGTCGGAAACAATCCATTACATATCCCACTGCTGATGATTAAATGATTACATTACTGTACTAACTTCCAAGATCAAAGAGAAACAGTGTATGAGACATAATTATTCACAAAAATGAGTTAGCAGAATATTTTGACAACGAATGATTGTCAGGTGGATCTTGCTACCACTTGGAATTTTGGTCTAGAGTTCTACAACAGTAATATTATTTTAAAATCCAAGCCTGAAAATTTTAAGGAATCATAAAATGGTAATGGTGGTTACTCCCAAAGATCAAGTTCCATCTAATCAAAAGAATTCTTAGCCATTTCTTGATTTTACAACGAAATTTGGGCCTTTAATTATCACTGATGTTTCTTTGCATGTTAATAAATAAATATATAACTATGTAAACGAAATATAATTTTGTTCGTATGAGTAGTTCATGGCCTAGATCTTGCCTTCTAATTTACTTGGATTATCTGCAACTGCAATATCGACAAAATGATCACTTATATTTTCGATTGAAAAGTTAATTTGGTCACACGTCGTAGAATCTGAATCAAAGACTTAAGTTGATAGATACCTACTTTTTACCGAACTGAATTAAAAGCGCCTCTTTTACTTAGTTCTTATATATATATATGTATCATTTTCATACATTTTTATTTTCATACAAATTACATAACAACTTGGATTTTAGGGATGACAGGGTTCGATACTGCGACGTTTATTACCCAAAAAAGACGCCCTACCAAATTACATAATATCTTGACTATGTAGGAGATGATATATTGGTTCTAATAAAAAGAGTTTTAAACTATGAATTAAATTTGTAAAATCAAATGAACTTTTTATAAACTAACATAATCTTACGGCGAACACTTTTAACACATGTTAAAAAATTTAGTAATTTTCAATTTGAACCGAAGGAAGGGCAACTTCAACATGACTTAAAATTTTTAAATTTGTATCTAAAGAATGAAGTGAACTGATGATGCTATCAAACTCTTATATTAAGATAGTAATGGTGCCTTCAAACCCGTGAACATATCTCTATGGTTTTGTGAAAAAATTCAACTACTTCAAAATTTTGAAAAGTTATTAACGATGAGATTTTGAAATTCAAGAAGTCTCATGAAAAGTATTCAACTTGCCACGATGACCTCACAGAAGAACCGATAGGTTTTGTGGGGAAAGGTGTTACAGAAGAGAGACAAGAAAATTCTTTTCCAATCCAGTCAACAAAGTTTGTGTGACGTCAGTTCTCAAGAGATCTCTGGCATGATGCGTAGACAATGATTCATCCCTCCTTTATGATGGCTCTCTTCATCCATGACATCCAGATGACGTGGTCGTAAACATACTGGTTTCAGGGTGAGCTTAAATTGGAGTCTTCATGCACCCTTGCAAGTATAGTTCTCAAAAAAAGCTATAAATATCGTTTCGAATACCTATTTGCGTGGTTTTTGGATCCATGCACCACGTTATCCCATAGAATTGAGCTAAGTACAACTTGTTAAATTATTTCCATACTGTCACACATTTGGCATTCGGAGTTTTAAATTCCAAACACAAATTCTTGAGTCCAGGTTTACATGGTGACGTGTGTAAATCAATACAAAGAATCATGTAGTTCACGCAGATGACGATATTTAGTGATCTTGGTTCAGGGAATCAAGAACAACGTACCAACAACGTAAAATTGATGCAAGCAAGATTTATTGACTTCGATATATTTTCATGGTTAACTAGAAAAACCTTATCACAGATAATATATTCTGCATTTTTAAGTGAAAACTTGTCAACATATACAACTGTAATTTTGGCCCTGCGAGACTTTATAAAACATACCTCATATATACTTCCTCATTTAAAACCTTCAATAAAACCATATCCATTCTCCATCCGAAGTTCGAACGCATCAACGTTCACTGAAATCTTGTACTTGCAATAGTTGTACCATACACCATACTTTACCCCCCAAAAAATGCATAAACAAAGTGGAGCCAAGGGCAGACAACTCATTGTGTTTTTACAACGGTCGACCTCTATGTAGAAATTGGCATCCCTTGGATGAATATTATACTTGTAAACGAGCCCCGAAAATTGAGAAACCTCCAGTAAAAAAATGAGAAATTCCTGTCTGGCTCCAACATAACCAGCTGAACGGGTATCCACATTTAGTAATGAGGATGGATGAATAAAAATCTGTGCAGGAAGAAACACAAATAGTTCCCACTATACCATTTTCTAATTGATAAAATTGACACTTCTCTAGCAGCTCAATACCAATCTACCAAAACTTGCTTTACAGTCCACCTTCGTTCTTACCTTAACTGCATTGTAAGGCATCGATGTAGTACACTCTACCTGCTCCTAATGCTATGCATGCTCTCCTCAAGTTTCCACTTTGACCTACTCGAGATTCATACGAGCATATTATTATTTACTTTGAAGGGGCCAACTATATATTTTCGGGAACCAGACCTTCTATGGCTTCACGTTCCTGCATTCCGAGGATAACTCCATTCGTTTTGGAAATATCGACACGATCTAAGATGCTCTCCTTTCATGATGCGGGGGCAGGGTTGACTGATTTGTCCTTCTTCGGTGGGTTTCCTCCAGCCAGGTAGACGTACGCATAGAAAGCCAACATTGCGCCACTGCAATCAAAGTAGAAAAAGATTTACCTTAATACATCACATACATTTTTTTGTTGAACCTGCAACCTAAATTGTCAAAGTAGCAAGCCCTAGGAGTCAGGAGTCAGGTGAAACCAGTCGTATCTCCGCAATTGAATCCATGAGGTCAGCGTAGATGAACATGAAAGAAGAATACTACCCAGCACTGGAGTACACGTACACTCAGTCTTAACCAACATCTTAGAGCTTAGGAGATAGAAGCTCTACCTGGCCAATGCCGATACTGCTGGTGGAAAGAAGCCTCCAGTCTGAAAATCATAACATTTCCGTATGTTCAAATGAGACACGATAGCATGATACTCTATTATCTGCCGTGTTTGCAATTAACCGTGATCAAGAGCTACGTTACCAATGAGGTAATGAAGACCTTACTAATGGCAAATATCATAAGACAATACGAAAAAGCTTTTATCTAAGTAAAAACCACCATCTTTTACAAACAAACTCTTCCATGTAAAAGGGTGCTCCGGTGCGATCCATCGTTTCATTCTTTCACTTTTGGGACAAGTCAAGTTTCTCGTACCGCGAGAAATTTTCGGGAGTCTTTAATGAAGATAATTGCCGCGATAGCTGACAGAACCACAAATTCGTCAGTGATAATAGTGTCCGTTTTAAACGCAAGTGGTCGGATGAGCCAATCCCATCAACTTATAAAAGAAACCCACGAACACTCCCCAGAATAAAGATAAGATACTCTATCTAAAAGTAGAGACTTCGAATTTCGTTACTGGAAAACAAAACGATATTCAGTTGAAAGTATCTCAATGAAATATTGCGGCCCTTAAACACATATACGAGTCTTAAATTGTTCTGTAGCCAGCGGTGTTTGAAGGAATGACTGCTAGACTTCTAATAGGCGAGCTATAACTAAAATAAGAAGTGAAAGAGTCACGAAGATGTACAAGTAAATCTGCTCAGTAGCCCTGTTTGAGAGGTTTATAGAAGCTAATCCATTCGTAAAAGGCAAACGCTTGAATAGCTGCAATTCAGGTATCAATTATCAATAGGCAACTGACACAATGTAAGGTATCTGTTGAAAACAACAGGCTTACCTGCTTGACCCTGAATATAAGGGATGGAAGACTTTCCCTGCTTCCACACTTTCAAACTCGATACACTGAGAGCCAAAAGGACTCCTCCAAGGATCACTCCAAATCGGATAGCTGCAGTGCTTCCCGTGAGAATAAACCAGAGGAGGCCTCCAGCAACTAACATACCACCTGGCAAACGAAAGCATAAAACAATCAGTCAAGTCTTATAAAGTCAACTATCGGAGCTTGTGTTGAGTGAAATTACCATCTTCTATTTTTGGACAAAACTAAAACTAAAGAAGAAAACTTCTTCCAGGTTAAGTGTAATGGTAACCAGAGAGAACCGTTCATGCGCGTGTAGACATATAGCCTACTCGAGACAAATATCAAACATCGTGTTCCTTCTGTTTGAATCAGCATGAAAATTGTTAGTGGAGAGGTAGAGCTCAACTTTTATAAACAGGAACAAGCTCCATTCGAAAATCTTTTACAAACAAGGCGAGTCGTTGACCTTGCGAGCACCAACATCATAAGGGCCTTCGCAAGCATCTCACTGCATACAAATCCTACCATACCAGTCTTCTAACCAGGGGGTATATTCTGGACTGACGGGCATGTAATTCTCCTTACCGTAAGGAATACCAAGACAGAAGTCGTGAATTTTGGCTCCTTGCTTTGTTTTCTCCGAAAGATGAGCATTCACAGCTGATTCTGCAACCTCCTTGATTGGGCCGTCAGGAGCGTTTTCAGCTAGAAGATTCAGGTTCGACTTCCCCAGTTCAGCTGTTTCCAACGCTGTCGCGGTTAAAAGTGCCCTTGCCTTCTCAGCTTCTTCTTTCAACTTTTCCGTTGTATCCCTCAACACTTCGATTGCTTTCTCTGCGGCAGGATCAAAAGCTGTTTTCGCCGAGTCTTGTACCTTGAGAGTTTCCTCCTTAAGAGCATCTACAGCGTCATTGTAAGCTGCTTTGGATTCCTCAGCTTGCTTCTCAAGCTCCTGCGCTACCTCCTCCACTTTAACATCCTGCGCGACATCGTACTCTTTTCAGTCTGTCGTAAGGTTTGAACGACATCGATCCGCTAAGCAAAAAGTACGAACAAAGTCGACAGCCACAGTGATCCACTATATACTGCTCGAATCGAAAAGAGTGCAGGCATTTGCAGTAACAACATGCTGCCCCATAAAAACTGAAAATTGTGTACTTCAACCAAACAATCCCACTCCAGTAAACAAGAATAGTTCAAATTTTCGCAGAGAAGGCAAGCCCTTGAAAAGCAACGCTCCAGAGGTGACAACGTAGCTGTTTCCGAGCAGGCGAGAGAGGTATTAAAGACGACAGATGATCGTGCTACAACTAGCACAGGCGAAAGAATTATTGGTCTATGACGAGTATTTCCGCAGTAACCGAAATAAGAACTGCACAGCTCCGTCGAGAAGTTCTACCAAATTACGACTGTCTTCCTCGAAAAGGACAATCTGGAAACTGAAATCATTTCTACTGTCATGTACTACCTCAAAGATGCACGGAAATAAACGATACTCCAAGAGAGAGTCTCGATATACACAACTACTTCACTCACGAGGTCAATTTCCGACCATTCCGAGCTCAAGACACATGTCGCGGCCGCTCAAAAAAACTTGCGGACTCCTGCGGCTTCGAACCCGAAGTACTACCCGGTTGCCGCTATCTCTAAGAACAAGAGTCGACTTACATTTCCAGCGGAATCCTGAGACTGCGCTGCAACGCGGAGGGGCTTCCTCTGTTCGGAAGCATTCAGGCCAAACTTCGAGAGCGCTTCGGCGCCCAGATCGCGACGCCTCCGGAGAACGGGGCCGCGCGCATGTCGTCTGCCTCCAGAAACCAGCACGCGACCGAAGGTGCAAGAAACTCTTTGCTGCACGGATCTCCCTCCAATTAACGACGACGCTCCCACAGCAGACACGAAAGCTGAAGAAGGTGCGGCCAACGCCGCAATCGTCTCCATCGCTCTCGCCACAACCCCTAGCGTCTCAGAAAGCTGATGTCAATCAAAAGATCACGACCTCTCGCAGCGATCCCCACTCTCAAATCCGCGGGGCCAACACAAGGCGCTGCCGATCTGCGCGTCGTGTCCTTCCTCGCACACGAGCGGCCCCCACTCCTCAACCGATCGTCCTTCGTCGCTCGTCGTCGCTGCCTCTACCGCTACCGCTTAGTGTCGGACGAAGGCTAATGCGAAGGACTTTTCGCGAGTGAGCTTGTGCCCGGCGCCCGACCACCTTTGCCCATCATGCCGTCATTAGGCTCCAAAGCACGCGCTGATCACGACCATTAGCGTCCTGACGCCGCTCCCACTTGCTCCCGACTCCCGGCTCCCGTCGCGCCCGCTCCTTCGCTCCTCCGCTCCTCCGCTCGTTCCATTTCCAGCGCGCCCTTTATTCGGCGCTTTATTCACCGGCCGTTCCATTTTAAATCCCTTTTCTCCGCAACGGGCATGGGCTGATTCCCTTGCGACTGCGCTTTCGCCACTCACCGGATGCAGCCTGTGAGCCCGGTGGTGTTTGATTTTGGACTAACTTCTGGATTCTCAGTTTGCTGGCCTTGATTAGAGAGTCATTAAGCCATTATAATTATATGTCATCTTACATTATAATCTCCCATATCTGCGCCTTGGAGCCAAAGGCCTTCCCGAGTGGACGAGACATGCGCCGTCTTGAAGGGCGTACGCCTTCAAGACCAGGCGCCCATGAAATATAGTTCTATAGAAGATTTCTAGAAGGTTTATTTTCTTCCTGACAGTGTGAGCCCGGTTTACCTTATTATAGAAAAATAAATAAATAATTTACCACTCGAAGACAACATGATAATATTAGAATTGTTTTATAACTGCGACTTGCAGTCGATAGCTGGGGAAGCGAACATATGCGACCTGCGACGAAGCATCAGAACCTTGCTTCCAGCATCCGACGACGACGACGACGACGCCACAATCCTGGAGGACGCGGGCGTCGTCGATCGGGGACGATTCCGCATCGGCGGACGGGAAGGGCTGTGAAGCGGAGCCATGTGGCACTCTCGCCACGTGGAGACGTTCCGGCCATCCCAAGGCCTGTGCCCTTCGGACCGTACCTGACGGCTTTAGGTCTAGCGGCGGATACTGGACCTGGCCCCAACCGAGCGCAGTCGATCGCCTTCTACAGGTTCAAAAGTAACCGGAGATGGGGTTGGCTGGGTTCCGCAGCTCACGCTGAGCCGCCTGCCACAAGTCGAACTAGGGTACTGTCTAGAGTGCGAGCGGATGGCAGCGATGGCGATGCTTGGACCTCTGAAGAGACCTTGTCCTTGTTCTGCTCGTCCGGCACTGGCAGATTCAGAGGTTTCTCGGAAGCGCAGACGTTTTTGTGTGGCACAGATGCGAGCGAGCGAGAGAGAAAGTGATCTAGGCGACGATTGCAACGAAGAGCAATTTCTATCTTTCATTTCCGTGCGGATCCTGCTATTATGATGCTGTTATCGAGTGGAGGTTGTATTGGGACAGTGGACGATGTAATCATCTTGCAGGGCGATGACCTTCGTGATAAGCTGCTTCGAGCGACGCGAGAAAGAAAGAGAGAGAGAGAGGCGTATTCATCATACGTAAATCATGAACTGTCATTATTTAAAAGAATGACCCAAAGAGTGGCGGAGCCAGGATTTTTCTGGTGGGGGGTTGGGGGGCTCCCCGCCAGCTATTTCTGTAGCGCCGGAGGCGAAAATTTTTTCTCAACCGCGTTTACACAATCTGTACCTCACAATCTGTAGACCCTTCCTGGGCTACAGATTCCGTGCCCCCCCTGCCCAAAGATCGCTGACCGAGCTGATTTACAATAGTCCTCGAGAGAGAGTAATTATATCTACGATGGAAAGTGTTCAAAAGCTTGAAATGCGAGTGTTGCGGCGCTCCTCTGGGAGATTCATCAACTCTCGAATGCCTTCCACAACCTGAGAATCAATGACATTTAGACCCCACGCTGTCGTTAGAGACTCTACACTAAACTGTGACTTATGGACAAACAACCTCACGGATGAAGGGGAGGAGACCCTTCAGGCTTGGATATCAAGATACTCAGAGATGCGGAAAACTTACAAGTTTAATTTGTGCCTTGATGCTCGCTATTTGCCGCGTATGCTCCTCGACCTCTCTGCATCAGTTTCCACGGCAATAATGACTTTGCTTCTTCCCGCAGCGGCAGCCCCAAAGGATTGAACAAAAGGATGGATTTGATAACGAGCGTCGACCGAGAGCGACAGGGCTGGAGACCTCGGTCTTGTACAGACGGAGACTGGAGAACACCAAAAATGTTGGCAGATACCGCAATTTGACCCATAATATCTGTTCCACAGTTCTCTACCAAATGACAGTACGTTCAATTTGTCCACTACACGTGCACTACTCGTATACTGAAGTCACTTACTTATTGAGCGATGTCAGCTTGTTCCCACAAAATTCCAAAGCTTCGTCCAACTTGAACTCTACGTGAAACCCCAATCCGACATCGACGAAGATCGAAGAGGTATCAGGCCTGGAAATGCACGTTAAGTTAGATTCCTGAACTTTGAAGTTGTGAATTCATGACAAGAGCTGATCTTTCAGCAGACAAGTGATTTTGACTTCCATACCCAGAGACCTTCACAGAAAGCGACCGGAACTGGAAACGTGGAACCTACACTTCCGCTTGAGCATAAACCTCAGACCCCAAATTGACCATCGTCCGCATTTTCTTCAGCCCATTTTCCTGCAGCATTCTGATGTTCTTCGCGAGGTCGGTACTGCCTCAAGCTGGTCAAGAATTACTAGAGTACAATTGACCATCTCTCGGCGCTGAAACGCAAAACATTCGAGCCGGAATGACAAGAATCTGGAATTGGTTCGCAAGAAATCGCACAACAACCACTCTGCGTCCATAAACATAATCATAAAGGATACAAGACTCTTTGTCTGTCCATAACCTTGTCCCTGCAGAGACGAAACAGGACCCAAATCAGAAACAAAGAATACATAATATGACTTTTCGCAAGTGATCGTAGTGGCTAGTACGAAAACTTGAGCATGACTTCGCATCAAACATATGAAAGCTTGAGCTTCTAGACTACGAGGTATCACACACATAGAATACTCCCACACATAGAGTACAAAATTTGTAGAGAATCAAGACACGAATTCAGACCTTGCAGCCATCGCAGACACGAGATCCGGCTTCAGCCGCGTGTCCACGAAACTCTCATACTTGGCGATTTTGTCATGCGCCATTGAGCTCTGACCGGAGAAACGAGCTGGACACCGGATCTCAGCTCATGTGAGAAACTACCAGGTGAACATTGGATTGGACATCTCTTTCACTCTACCCTAACAAATGCTCACATTCGAAGTTCACAAGCTCAAATTCTAGAAACCTTCCTCCTCACTCACCAGACAACCTTTCCTTCAACCTCACCGAATTCTGTAACCGGTCAAACTACTGCATTCTACCAACAGCCGCCGCATTCTCTGTCGGCAATATTGCGTATATGTGGCTTGCAGTTTGCACCAAGAATGCGGGAAAAGCGTACTCCACACTGGCGACATCCGTCACAAACTGCAACATTACGTTTGTTTCGAACCAGGTGGGATCCAGCCGACGTCAACATGGATTTACGTCTGAACACTTACTTACCGAAGACTAATGCTCACCCGAAATAATTCACGTTGCTCCTACAGGAACTCAACGTTTACAGAGTGGTGACACTAAGGACTAGACGATCATGTTTCGTGAATTTTGACTTGGGTAAGGCGTCGGTCTCGTTTTCCAGCGAGCTGCTTCCTAGCCTCTTCATTTAACGTTTTCCTCTAGAACTGTCGAAGTATTTTTCCGCGACCGTTGTTTGCTCACGGAACTAGGCAGACGTGTTCAGACGTGAAGACACGTAACCTCGTGCCTGGCGCCACAGGAACAAATTGGCCTCACTTCAAAGTTGTACTCCACATCCAGAGCAGGAGTCGGGAGAGAATATCGCAGGTGGGTTTCAGGTTTCACGTGCTTTCACCGCATACCTCGCTCAGAAGCGGGTACACCTCCGTAATAGTCCAGACAAGTCAAGCTATAGGAAGAAGAATCTCATGTACTCGATTCAATCAACGACCCTCGTGATCTGTAACGAGCTCCACGCTCCACAGTGATCCTTATGCACGCTACCGTTAAATCTTGTCGGTACAATTCGAGTGAAATGGACAACATGAACAGTCTACTTGGAGCTCATGAAGAAAGAGAATACTGAAGAAAGATCTATCTCCCTTCTTAATAATCTTCGGGACGATTAGCTTAAGTTGACAGTCTTGTTGATGCTCATGCCACACTTAGTACAGATCTCGAGAGCAGAGGTTAATTAACATCTCCCGAGAGTGATTAAACAGAAATACACGCATTTAAGGGCTGGACTTAAGCAAAAGTTTTATATTACAACTCGATCTAGCTACAAAACCTACAAAACCTCATTCTAGGACTTGAACTAATTGGAGTAACAGTGGGGGTGGGCTGATCTAATTGTAGGATACTTCTGCCCATAAATTTGTGTGGTACATAACTTAGAGCAACTTTCTTCTACCCTTTCCAGCCCAGCTTGAACTTCAACTACTGAAGTTCGAAGTTTCCACACCTACGAGCTCTTCCCATCATTAAACAGAGAAGAGAGAGCTAAAGACGCATCGATCTGAAGAAGTCCAGACGCCTCTGTCTGAACCTGAGGCTGAGGACGGTTCCTCGATCACAAAGTTCATAAGCCGACACAGCGAGAGCGGATATTTGAGTCCATATCCACTTAAAAGAATTACCTAAAGGTCCGATGTGACCTCTATACCAAAAGATGCAAGAAGCAGGTCCCAGCAGTTTCATCCACTCAGATGGCTACAGACGTTTTTCCTTGAGAAGTGCCTCCACTTCCTCCTCGAGAGGCATGTACTTTAGCTTTACCATATCGCTGACTTCACTAATCACCTGCAAAACGAATCGACGATTTAAAACTCCAACACTTCAGGGTGCGAGAAGTGACACAAACTCATGCACTCCATATAAACCTCCAAACAAACAGCTCTGTCCAATATATACCAATTTAGGTGCTGAAAAACAAAATTGTGTCCTTGACCTATTCATCGAACAAACTAGCGCCACATTGCATAATCTCTGTCCAAGCTTACCTCAAGGCCGCGTTGCAAGTCTTCCCTGGTATGTGCCGCGGATATGCAAATCCTGGCCCTTGATAGGAGCAACGGTGTCGCTGGGAAAGCCACGGTCACAACCGCTACCTAAACACATGTATACGTCCACAATACGGAAGTCGTTAAAACCCCGCTCTTGCCCATCTTTGCAGGCCCACAAAAGACAATATGAACACAGTCCAAGGCAGCAACTTCATATTCCAGTCCGCTACACAAAAACCAAATACATGACATCATTCCAAGTCAGGAGAAAAAACTATTTAGTCGAGATACAGAATTCAAATTTTACATTGCGCTTGAAGCATTCTCGGGAGAAAGCTGGTATCTTGGCAGGATTATACAGCATGACTGGCATGACTGGTGAGTCAGCATCCCCCAAGACTTCACAACCCATTTTCCGCAATTCTTCTCTGAAAAAGTTGCTGTTTTCCCTCACTTGAGCTAGTTTGCGAGCACCTGTAACGGAACCCAGAGAACCACAGGAGAGCCAGGTCGGTCAAGAATTTACCAGCACACTAACGCAAATCACAACCTTGTCCAAATATACCCAAGGCAACCAAAAAAAAAATCTAATCATACAGCATCTGTTACATATTCAAAAGTCTCTCCTAATTGGTGCAGATCTAACCTCTGTCGGTACCATCCTCTCCTCGAATAAGCCTGAGGGCAGAAATCACTTGCTGTACAGCAGGTGGAGACATAGCTGTGGCATACAAGTGACCTGGACTCACGTGCTTCAAGTATTGGATGAGTTCCTGCAAGGCATGTTCAAAGATATTCAGGCTTAACCTCAAAGCTTCCGTAAGATCGACAAAATTAACGTGATCAAATCACAAACCTCCTCTATATGTCGGGATCAAAGGTCGAAAGAGTCCTAAAACCGTTGACCCTCAAATGCTCAAATAAACCTGACAGCTACTGCAAGGAACCTTCACATTTTCTCTTGTTTGTGACAGTCCGTTTCGACTTTTCTTACAGTTCCAGATCACGTAGAGATCAGTTCAATGATCGTAGCCTGAAATTTTTGTGCGGACGCTGTGAGATTCAAGTACGACAATCGTACAAAACATTTTACCTTACTGCCTGCTATATAACCTCCGCAAGACCCAAATGACTTGGTAAATGTTCCCATCATGATATCCACATCTGCAGGATCTACTCCTTGGAGTTCACAAACACCCTTCCCTGATTTGCCAATGGCACCAATGCTATGAGCCTCGTCGAGATATAAATAAGCCTACATGCAAACACACAACAACATGAGAAAGTCTCTGGAGGAAATCAGCTAATGACATCAAATGACAAAGCTTCTCTCGAATCGCAATCATCTCAGTTTCAAGCCCACTTTATAATTTAACAGAAAGAACAGATATATCCTGAAAACCCTTGTTCAACGACTTGTCCTTTCAATAATAAAGATGATAACTGAGCCTTAAGAGCATGAAATCTCTCGTATCTACAAGCGGTTTGTAAAAAAACTTCAATGAGGCAAAACCATACCATCCAGAACCCTTTACAGAACACAGCATCATGTTTGAAAAAAGCTTGATAAACTATAGGCACTGACCTTGTACTTCTTCGTAACTGCGACAATTTCTCTTAACCGGCAAAGTTCGCCTTCCATACTATAAATTCCTTCAACAATGACCATTATCTTCTTCCATGGTCGGTGTGTTCGAGGCTGACCGTCAGCAATAGCTTGTCTCAAAACTTCCTCTAAATGCTCGGGAACTACACGAATAACAGATAAACAAGTCACATTCAGCATGAGATACAAGTACCAAATGAGAAAAAATTTCCAATTAGAGGATCAGGCTGAAAATAAGCAATTAGGATGTTAAGAGTCTTACTATTATGTTGGAACACTGAGACTTTTGCTCCAGATCCACGAGCACCAGCAACTATAGAAGAATGATTGAGGGAATCACTGATAATGAGGCCACCCTGAAACACAATATATAAATTAGACCTAGGATCAGGTTCGTCGATACAACAAGATTAATAATGCGAGGTATGTTTAAGTGTGTTTCCGACTTAAGCTTTCCATTCTACTAATAGAGTCCAAAGAACCCAGTTCGAAGAATTCAGCATACACAAACCTAGCTTTAACTTTCACGGAGATCAAAAGATGTAGAAAAAACCTTGCCCATCAATGCAGGCAGCGTCGTTGAATTCGTGGCAAAACCCATCCCATAAACCAACGCAGCTGGCTTCCCAATGAAATCGGCCATGAGGGTTTCCAACTCTTCATGTAAACTAGTTGTACCTGACACAAATATCACAAGTTTTGTCAACCGCGAGAAAGCAGAGTTACATTGAGGCACGCTAGTCAAAGACATATCATTGTAGTAAGTGAAATGAGAATGAGCTGATTTCACAAGTGAGCGGAACGAAACTTACCACCATCTGCTCGGCTTGCACAAGTGCTTATAGCGAACTTATCCAGTGACTTAACAACTCGTGGTGTGCAATATTCATCTTGCGCAGCGAAACCCAAGTAGTTGTAGGATCCGAGATTCAAGCAGTGTCTCGAATTTCCTGTGCGGCTGCCATCCATTGTCAAGCGCTTTAGTTAAACATCAACTGTCTATGCAAACTTACAGGGAAACATCTGGATGATAGTACACATTCAACATTACCGTGTTTGTTGGCTGAACAAGAATTCAAAGACTGTAGATTGATGCTAATTTCAGAACTTACTGTAATGTCTTGTTGTTGTCATTGGAGTAACGCTCAATCACATCAATCCAAGCGTTGGGGGCACTTGCTATGGGCCGGTTGAAACAGTCCTGTCATTACCCACAGTTGGATCTCAGAGCTAGGATTACGACAAACTCCTGGTTAGGTTATATAAAAACTTAGCCTTTGAGAGTCACGATTCAAATATGGATAAACATCCAATGTGTAAAAAGAATCCAAAAGAACAAGAAGGTGAGTCATGCTGCCCCTTGTCTCTATCCCCATCATATTCCCGTTCATAGCAATCAACTCATGGACTGTGTGCAGTGTGAGGGAAAGCAACGTAAGTAATAGAGGTGCAATTTCTGGACTGGTCACATTTTCGACGTAACTTGAAAGAGAGCGCACAGGAGTAATTGTAACGTACTCTGCTTGCTTGACAGAGTATGAACAAAAGATAGAGAAGCAACTGCTTTCTATGCCGATGAATCAGCTGGATGGACATGCTTAGAAACAACTTCAAGTGTAAGGTAACTAAAGCATATGTCTCTCGATATCAAGTGCTCATTACAACTTGTTTCTCATAGCCTCAAGACCATCGACATCGCGCTCTGGCTGTTAATGGCATGAAAAGGGACCCCGAAGATGAGGACTCGTTCAGCATTCAGGGGTTCTGTATTAGAGTGGAACTGCTCCGTAAAGATGATATTTGTTTGAAGCTTTCAGGTGTTCAATGCTCGTCGACCCCCTGGTATTTCTCTGGAAAGATAGCCAGCTTTGGACTTTAAGCCAAGGCTTCGAATTTTCGAATAAACTTCTGGTAACATCAGCTGGACGAGCTTTTTTGTGTGATATCACTCTCATTTTGTCAACGGTGACGCACGTGAGAAGATTGTGGATAGTTGTTCGTCATCTATAAACACAATGTGCGAGTAGCGGGGAGGTTCCAATCTTGCTCTTCTTTCCCGCCTCTGAATGTTAAGTCTGCAGATCTGGGTTATCAAGTCGGGTAGAGAGAATTTGCCTGAATTCGATGGTAGAGTCGTCTGGTGTAGAAGTCCTCAAAATCTCGACAAAGAGGTGCGTAGCCCTGCTCCCAACAATGAGGTAGAATCTTAATTGACCATCCGGAGACGCGTAAAGTAAAGAACAAATACATCAAATTCAGCAAAGCAGCTCTTTCTCACTATGTCAGATATTCAAGCAGAGAGAAACGAACCTCAGGTGCAGACTCCGACTTCATAAAACCTCGAAAGAAATCTCGCAAATGTCCGAACACAAAGAGGAGGCCATAGCTAAAGTAAGTAGTCAATGCAGCAAAGTATGGGATAGTCACAGCCATATCTCCGATCTGACTTCACTTCCTGTCTATCTAGGTTGTCCGACTCCGCATTTCCTCCTCTGCCACTACAACCGCATTCTCTTCCTTGGAATTCCCTGCGACCCCGAAATCAAACTCTAGTGGGCCGACCTGTCAACCGTGCTCGACACTCCGACGAGCAAGATTGTCACTTCAATACTCCCTCCGTCCCTCCCTTTCTTTATTCAAATTCGTAATCTCACACCGTCAACGCAACCGACAAACTACAAAGACTCCTCGATCCCACAAGCGAACGAGCCGCCGATCTGTGCAAACTGCTCGTACCTGCTTGTGAGTCCAAGTGATCGAAGCACCATCTAACTAACTACCTCTAATTGCCAATGCCGCCCGCCTGCCTGTCGATTTGGCGGCCGAGAGCCAAAATCGAACAAGCCAGGGACGTGAAAGATTGCGCGATGTGCACTCTGGCTGGCTGGCCTCGTTGGCTCGCTGGCCCGCCTTGCCCCGCCTTCCAGTCCCAAAGAAGAAGTCCAAGTCCATGAAAAGTGCAGTGCAGTAGCTGCGACTGTCACGGCAGGCAGGCTGCTTGTTCACACCTACTCTACTTTCCTGTACCTTCCTCCCGCTGACTGTCCCGAATGGGGCCATCGGTGCTGGCCTCGTTGGCCCCGAATTTGCGCCACCGGTCCCATGACCGGGGCTCCATGAGCAGGCCTGGCCGTGATGACCGGACTGCTGCACTTTCAGACTTGCATTTGGGCTTTCGCCTGCGCCTCTTTCTTTCCCAGGTGTTCGCCGCTCCAAAGCACCTTGCGGTCGTCACCTGCTTTTCCAGGTTTCTCTCATGTGATAGTGGAACGGTGGTGACTCACTCGTATGTGATTATAATGACCAGATCTACGTGTCAAATTATTACTCGCTGTCATATCCATGTCAAGTACATTTTCAAGGATCCTATACATTTCATTACCCGAACATTTTAAGGGACTGTCATCATTTTGCTGGGGTCCATTGAACCTTTACTGGAGAAGTCAAAGCACAAGGGGGCCAAGTAATGTTGAAAAGGATCGACGTACCCCATCGAGCATACAGGGATGAAACCCAACGGCTAAATATCAGACCATTCTTTAAGAGGCATCTTAGTGGTACAACTATCAGACAGAAGAAAATTCCCTCATTCTACACTGAAAGTTAATCAACTGAAACCCGGTGACATCAACTAGTGAAATTGTTACACAAGAGTTTAGAGAAATATTATTATTGCACTTTACACATAAAACTTTGCTTTCTTTCTTTTCTCTCTCACTTTTGCCATAGAGTAGCTTGAGTACACTTGGGAGTAAGATAGCCGACAGTGTGTGAATACCCCTCATTAGCCATGTAAGCATGTAAATCATCAAATCGTTTAGAAACAAATGATGAGCCTCATGAAAATTTCTAGTCTCGATATCATCAGAACGAATAAATATGTAACCTAACGTGTCATAAGTTTCCAACTCCCATCATACTCCTATTCAATAAGAAGAATTAGCACAATAAGAAGCATGAAATGATGGCTCTTCTATGGCTTGCCATGTTCAGTTTTCTTAATGAAACGACCTAACCAATTTACGTTGCTACCCAGGATCAGATGGTCAAACCTTAGAAGGTCTAGACTGGTATTGGTTTGTACAACTTGCGTAGCAGGGCAGACCCAAACTTAACCTGCCCGAAGAGTACTTAACCGAAGCGCCATGAGGCATGCGGACGATAGATGCTCAGTTATAGGTTGCCTGGAAAGTAAGATAAATAACAAATATGAGAATAGCAAGTGCTACACATGTCGGCGTCGTGCATGGCGACAGCATGGCGACCTTCTGACACATCATACTCAAATATATGATAATGAATATGATATCAGTTAGGTCGTTTCATTAAGAAAACTGAACATGGCAAGCCATAGAAGAGCCATCATTTCATGCTTCTTATTGTGCTAATTCTTCTTATTGAATAGGAGTATGATGGGAGTTGGAAACTTATGACACGTTAGGTTACATATTTATTCGTTCTGATGATATCGTTCTGATGATTATACAAGTATTGCAAATAACACAAATATGATTTTTTTCTACTAGTTTTTCAGCTATATCATATTATAGTTCATATTCAGTTCTCATGTATCATATCATATTATATCATATCATATTATACCTTGGTGAAAATATGCTTATGTGCACTCTCATGATTGTGTTAAAGCTTTCTCCCAGATCTCCATATAGCTGAAAAACTAGTAGAAAAAAATCATATTTGTGTTATTTGCAATACTTGTATAATTTAATTACGATTTATCCTTCGTATTCATGTGAGATTAAAGCTAGTTATTCCTAAGGATTATATCATACTAATGTCGGGGTTGCACTCGAGTTTCGGTTTAACCCTAGTTAGTAAAATACGGTTAACTGCCAGATTAGCTCTCGGTATTTACACCCCACTTCATCTTCTGTGTACCCAGCAAGTTCATTATACTATCAACTTTCGTTCTCCCGTGGATGTAGTCCCTGACGTATAGTGAGTCCGCATATGTAGTGTCTGCCAGTATCTCTCTCTCGTCTTGGAGTTTAAGCATCCATATACTGTTGATGAAACGAGTTTGAAACAGCAGCACACGGCTCTCCAAGAACCTACTCTCGATTGGACATATACACTTGGAATTTATGGGTCCTACTTATCGGTCCTAATTTTATCTGTTCTCATTTACTGTAAGTACTTTTACTGTCAGGTAAAAACCTTGACAATATATTACAAAACCAAAAGACTTTGAGTTTGTTATTATGAATTTGACTTCACTCGATATTATTAAAATTCTCATCCACGTTTTGTTCAAACATCTATATTTACCTTTCATGTAATGAATTATTTCACATAAGTAATGATATATTATAATTTATATTTTTTATTTACATTAATTCCTATTCTATAAGCAATGAATATGTATGTATTTGAATAACATATCATATGTTTATATGAAGATTAACATATCAATTTATAAATAAAAACTGTTGTTACATATATTATACATTGTTTTGAATATGTTACGATTAAATTTTGGTGAAGTAATAACCTCATATATATTCTAGTTGTTTATAATTAAATAAGACCTCGATGTTGAAATATATAAATCCAAAGTTTGTGTATAACTAAAGGCATTCCTTGATACACACTCTCACGCGTGAGTTTCCCCGTATGTGTAACCTTTTGTGGTGAACCACATTACATTGTTGTCTTGATTCAACGTAATTACCGTCATTTTATTTTTGTATTTTACTAATTCTGAATTTTTTTCGAATGATAAAAAAACAATCCTTTTTTTTGAAAAAAATCATCATAATTATATACATATTTAAAATCAATATTTTTTCTCAATTTAATTATAATAGTTTTAAAAAGTATATGCACAATGATATTTTCAACCAATGTTAACATATCTATGGTAAAACTAACTATTAAACTTTTCATGAAGAGTAGATATCATATGACATTTTTTCTCATTTTTGGAAAATTTACATATTATTAATTATTGTGAAATCTCGTAATTTTTTGAATATTATAAGATTTTTATTTTCTTGATTAACGCTAAAGAAATGATGTAAAAGATTATATACTTTTAGCAAAGCAAATTTTTTATGAATCAAGAATCGTTTAGACATTTCTAAGTAACATTTCATTTGACAATATTGTACTATCATTAACATTTCACACAAATTGTAACATAAATAAAGTTCAAGAAATACGCACAATTTTATTTTTTTAATCTACAATTATAGATGAAGTTAATGTAGGAAAATTTAATTTTTTATACAAACAGCGATATATTAAATTTTATACAAATATAAATATATGGAAAAATATTTTAAACAAGTAAATTCATATACATTTACAAATTGTAAACAAAATTGTAAGTTAGATTTTGAAATTATCATGATGGGAGATATAAGCTGCAATATTTATCACAAATAAAATATATTGAACTCAAATAATCAGTAACAATATATATATATATATATATATATATATCAACTTCCAATTCTGTTTGATCAACACATTGAATTACATGAAATGGGTCATTCAAGTTTGAATTAAAAATAGCATAATATGAATTAATTAAAATATTATTTCACGCATCTTTCTATATTAGTTTAATTTATTTTTTTTAACTTAGTGACTTATTTAAAAATATTCAAACAAATAACATATTGTAAACATAATATATTTCTACTAAACATGATATTATGTTCACACCTTACTTCACAAAAAACAAGGTTCAAGAATTTTATTTTTATCTACACCATTTTAAATGTACATCATATCCTAAAAGCATGTTTAATTTGTTTTTATCATGGATTACAATGTAATATTTTACTCAAATATTTTAAGAACATGAAGAGCATTGAAAAACTTCATACAATTCCATAGAATTGTGATAAATATCGATTTAAAATACCTGAATTTCATAACTTTTCTCACTAAATATGATGCGCGTAATTATCATTAAACGATTTTTTAAAATATCTGTAATAATTTTATAGATAATTCTGTAATCTTTATATTCATTTTTTATCATTTATTACCAGATTTATTTTGTTTGTTAGCTGTTTTTGGTATAGTGTAATTGGTAACTCGCCAGACTCGAAATCTGAATGTTGTTGATTTTTCATCAATACACCAATTCATGTAAATGCAAATCCAAATTTGAAAATAACACATTTGAAATGATAAAAAAAAAAAATCAAGACAAATTTTGGAAACATCACTGTGGTGTCAATCACCAGAGAAATTTGTATTTCATCTGGAAATATCCTCTTTTGATCTAACTTTATATTGCAATATTTACATATTTTATCAAGCCAATATTTTAATTCATAAATTGATCACAAAAATTTCAAACTAATAAAAAAATCGTAATATAGTATAAACGCGAAAAAGACATGGTTTGTTGATATAAAAAGTTTTTATTTATCGTTGATCACATACTAATTGTGTTAGGTATAACGTTTACTGACTTTTGCAGCGATAGCCATAAAGTATGATCAATTTTAATCAAATAGATTACAGTTGATCAATAACTGAAAAATAAATAAAAAGTTAGCAATGTATATCTCAATATGTGAAGCAATAACTCAAATTTCATTTGGTTTGTAATATGTTGAATATAAATTTATCACAAACTTAAACTTTTTACAAAATAATGCAAGTTTTGTGATCAATAAAAATACTTATTTTTCATGAACATTTTTTTCAAACGTATATTTTTGTAAAGATTATATATAAACAAATATTTTCAATAGTTACTGTTTATTTACTCATATCACTTGAAGCCTAGCATACATAAATATATTCATCATGGTTTTAACATCTAAGAGATTTAAGTAGTATTTAATGAGATTTATGATGTATTTAAGTAAAAAATATATAAAAAATTTTGATATGTTTATATTCTAGTAATTTAACTGGTTTTACCTAATGACACTACATTCAACATTTTACTTCGTGAAGTAAAGATATATATTATAAATTTATCACCAAATGTAAATATGAAGTTTGCTCCAAAAGTAATGGCATCTTCAATTCATTTATCCTTGCCACTAACGTGTACTTTACATGTGTAGAAAAACTTTATAATAATCAGTAATGAGATTTATATATCTACAAGCATAAAAAAAAATGTTTGTTTTGTTTCCCTGAATAAATTACTGTAATAACTTGAATTTTATCTTAATTTGTTGACTAAGTCATTATATCAAATATTCATATGACATTCAGATTTATATTATTTATATGTTATTAAGTATAAAAACCGAGGTATTTCATTTTTTTTCATAGAGGTGAAAAAGTGGCTTTTGAAAATCATTTCATCCAAATTGTTATAAAATATTGATAATAGATATTTGGGTTATTATTAAATTATATTTAGAAAAATTTAACAAACTAATTGTAGTTTAAAACTAAATTAAATATGTAATCATAATCAGAGAAAATTACATATATCATTGATATAAAGATTATGCAATTATCTCTGATTGTATTGTAATAGGTTAGTCATACACTAAATGAAAAAAGTAAACTAAATACCTGGATTTTTGACATTTTGACAAATGCCAAAAGTTTTAAAAGTCTCATTAAAAAAGGGAAAAAATAAATATTTAAAGTGTCAATTAAAAATAAAAATGCCAAAGTTAAATGTTATATTACTTATGGATAATAAAATTAAAATGCCAAAATAATAATAATAAATTTGCTTTACATATAATTTTGAAAAATAAAAGATTTAAATTGTCAAGTTTTCAGAGCTTCAATTTCAAAAACTAAAAAATAAAGTTATCAAAATGTTAGAATTTAAGTTATTTGAGAATTTAAATTATTTAAATCTACAACCCAAATTCAACCAATAATATTAATTATAGAAGGTAGATAAGTAAAGAAATGTAAAAGTTGTAGAGTAAAAACATTTAAAGTACCAGAGTTTATTTTCCAATTTTGCAAAACACAAATTTCATTTGCAATGATTTAAAAAAAAAGTTTACAGTTTTCTCTATGCAAACGTTATGGTGCAAAAAAAATCAAAAGTGCCAAACAATATAAGCCAAAATGATAAGATATAAAATAAAAACACTGAATTATAATTCAAAATATGTAAAACTTATAAAATACAAAAACATATGATTTGAAGAAAAATAAAGAAATTAAAATAATAATTTATCAAGTTGAGATAAATGAGTTGACAAAATCAATAAAGATTAAAAAAATTGTTGGTAAAACAAAACATTCAGTATAACAATAATAATGATAAAAAACTATAAAATCAAACATAACTCTATTTTTTGATTGATTGATTCCATCAAAATTTAATGATTTTATTATTAAAATGGAAAACTTCATCAATATAATGGATTTTGTAAAAAAAATTTTAAAATTACAGAAAGTAAAATATTTTCTTAATAATTAAAAATATTTTAGAACAAACAGTCATAAAGTAAAAATATAAATAAGAACATTGTGTTATCAGTCAATAGTGATATATTCCAATTTTATAACATATATGATGTTATAACAATACAGAAAATGCAATGTAAAAACATGATTTGAATAAATTCAAATTCAACAAACTATTATAAAAAATATCATAAATTATCATTTTTTATTTCAAAAACTTAGAAATCAACAATAAATCACAATTATAATTTGATAAACAATTTAATTCACATATTGGATATATTGTAATTACATTTTTTTATTTCAATTATTGATGTATAAACACTTCTAAATATATAAATATTTCATTTTAAAATTATTATATGTGAATGTCATCAGTATTTTTTAATAGTTATTATAATAAAATATCTTCAATTGAAATTTTATGTACAAATTGGTCGGGGGATTATGATTTTTTGACTGGAATATGTAGTATCTACATTTACAATCATGTTGAAAACAACATATGAAAATGAATGTAGATATCAATTGATTACACATTTAGTGCATGATGTATCATTATTGTTTGAAAGCATGTAATGTGTAAATCTACATAAGGAATATATCATGTGTTCTTGAATGAAAAAAAAACTTAAAACTATGAAATTTTGATGATTGAATTTTGTATGCGATGTTTGATTAAAATTTCCAAATTATGTTCATATTATAAAAATAATGAATATAAAAATCAAAATATATATTCAATTATCAACATTATAAAGATAATATTTATGTTAAAAAATATTCAAAATTTTCTGATGCAAATTATTAACGATGCTATATTGATACAATCTAATTTTGTATACAGTATTATGTCAATGTAGATTATTTAATGTATTGGGATGTTTGATATAATAATTATATATACAATCTCAATACATGCGTTTTATACTTGTTTGAAAAAAATATTTAAATATATTAATATTTTTTAAAGTAATTAGTTAGTTTTATAAAAAAATTATATTTTCATTTGGGTTGAAGTATAGTTGAAAATTCCACATTCTGTTGATATTTATTGCAAACATCAGCTTCATCAAGCTTGACCCACTTTTGTGAAGACCACATTGTTTCAGTATCATGAGTTTTCTGATGGAAGCGGATATTCACATTGGTTTGTTTTTGGGTTTGCACCCTGCTTACACACGATTGAAGAAGGGGAGGAAGAAGAAAAGAATGTGTATCATGTAACATGTTCTCCTTGAAGCACAGATGGAATGTCCTTTTCGAAGGCACTGACAGTTTTGCCCTCCTACGAGGATGCGAGGCTGGTGTCCTAGTCCTTGGGAGGAAAGGCAGAAGAATTCGACCTCCTCTTAAATTGCGCTCGGTAATACCTTCGATTCGACTAGACAGCTGGTTACTAAAATGTTATAGTTTTTGGGAATCGGAGGAACTGATTTTTCCGAGATCATTGTGTCGTCGGCTGGAAGGGGGACAAAGCTTGGAACTCATGGATGGCCGAGGGATGCGTCATGAAGCATGACCGACATAAACATTATATACTCCAGTACCCAATGAGAAATTCCCCGAGGGAGACGGGAAGAATGAGACAGAGATTGATGAAACGGATGATTGAAGGATGCGCGATGAGATACCTCGGAAGAATTAATTGCGATGATGGGTCGACTCAATGAGGGCTCACGAATATGTGCTGGTGGGTGACGTAATACTGCGAAGTTATGGAAGAAATGGGGAGAACAATAGCGCTGAGAGCTTGGCCTCGGCGGTCCCTTAAACCCTAACCCTAAAATAGTGGTTTCTGAGTATTGTAAGGTTTTAGAGGTGATTCTTTACGGTAGAGATCGGAGGAAAGCGACACCTCGTGTTGACACTGGAGTTCGAAACTGGATCGGTCCCACGTTTCTTACGTGAATGTAATATTTCTGATCATACAAGCGACTCAACGTGGTGTCGGTAGCTCGAATGAAGACAGCGCCGAGCTGATTCGGCTGAAAGATTGTTTGGACCTTGATGTTGTGAATTATGAGGGTCTTCAGAGTGGATCCCATGGCTTCACGCGTGTGGCAGGCTTGTGTCCGTAGGCTGACAACGCAGAGTGAAATCACGCAGCACAATATTGGCAATTTATTGAATGAGTGGTGCTTTTTGAGCTCTGGAAGAACTTTTCTGCCGAGTTACGGTGATTTGGGAGGAAGAACACGTGCAGCAGGTGGAAAATTATGGAACCACAGCAGATTTTACAATGTAGGCGGCAGTGCTGGGAAACTTTGCGGAAGAACCTCCGGCAGGGAAGAATTGGCAAGTGTCGAGAATTTTGGAGGAAGAATTCTATCCCCCTTCTCTCGCTGGAAGTCTGCCATGCAAAATTCCAGTATATCCTCTGATGTGCCGGATGCAAGTCAGAATCCACCTTCTGATAATGTATCTACCGAAATTGAGGTTGAGAAACCCGAAGATCAAGAATTTATCCCACCCAATGCAGACACTCCGACTACACCTCTTGTGCAGGCAATTCGACACTCATTGGATGAAGAAGTCTCTCCGATGTCGAAAGGTAGCTTCGAGGAAATTCTTCCTGCGGATCGTGAGATCGATCCCCTACGTGTGTTCGTAGGTGGTTTACCATTTTCGGTGAAGGGAGATGAGCTGAAAAAAGGTCTGGTTTGTATAACTTATTCGTTGTTTACTGTGCTGCAAAGGTCTGTCAGAGTGGTCGATCGTATAACTTCACCCTGAAATTGCCTACTTTTTTCTCCTATTCTTGATCAAGTTTATTTTGATGTCGTGAAGTAAAGAGGCAATTGTTGATGGCAATTTGAATTTTGACTTCTGGTCATTCTCCTCTTGCATTACACATTCCGAAACGCCTTTTGCTCTTACGGAAAAGTTCGTAGAGTCATGCTGTCCAGCTCGAATCTTACCTGCAATCTACAACTTTAGTCTGAGATCTGTACATCCAGCACAATTAACGTTGTTGAATTGTCTGTCAACAGTTTTGCACAGTCGATTCTCGGAACACGGTGTTGTACAAGACATTCAGCTATCACATCACCGAGATCAGAGCAGGAAATCCCTTGTGAGTAATTCACCTTAGACTGTTAATTGCGGCCAATTTCTTGTAATCTGAGGAATGTGCTGAAAATTGCGGAGAGTGAGCTGGCTAAGTAAAACTGCCGGCAAGTTTCCAATGCGCTTCATGGTTTTCTTGCTCTGTTGACCTACTCCAATCTGCGAATCAAGATCGAATAAGCCTGCTATGCATTTGGTTACTGGATCCTTGTGATCTTGTCGAGCCTTTCGACTTAAGTTTATAATATATCCACTGGGTACGAGGCTATGCTTTGACATGACGTCCGCCGAAAGTAGGAACGTCAATCTATTGTTATTTCACGCTTATCCTCCTTACCTGTCACCGCACAGTAGTAGCTTAGGCCGAGTGTCGAAGTTTCTTCTGTATGATGCCATCGACTCTGAAAGACGTTTGCTTTCTGTAGAGATTGATATCTATCTCGGCTCTCTCAGACCTCTGTAATCAATGAGGAAAATAGGCATTCCAATTTCGTAAGCTTGTACGTCACGAGAAGCTTCTATGTAACGTTTTATGACTCGTACAGAGCAATGAATTGAAGTCACAGTTCATTGGTCAGAAAAAGTACATTCAGAGTTGGTGGCCGTAGGTGTGAGGTGCTTAGCAATTATAATCTACTGATTATTTAAAGTCCTCATGATTTGGATTCTGCTCATCCCTCTGACTCCCTCAATACGCGATTACCGAAATATGGTCTATGAGTATTGTCTCAATCAACTTCCTCATACAGCGAGAATATCGCGTTTGTTAGCGCCGTCTTGAGCGATTATGATTTTGAAGACCAAATGGATTACAAATCTGAGGTTTTAAAGTATATATCAGAGATGGTGCCTTCATCTCGCAGAACTCCTTGACTGAGGAGACGATAGATTTATCATTGATAATCGCTGCTCATTTAGCGAGCAAGCGGTCCTTTTCTGCACTTGGATGAAGAAATTATGCTCATTATTATAACTACCTTCTTCATGTGTTTCCTACCCAGAAGCTCCCTGCTACTCGCTATGGCTGCTTTTTACCGTCTGCAATTAAAACCGGAAGACAATTTGCCATGAAAAGTTTGGCGTTTAGTTTCTTTGACCCGATTTGCCAATGTGGTTGAGTCCTTTTTGTGATATTTTCGTTAAAGGTTACTTTCATCTTTCGAGATCAGATCTTTCAATGTCCCTTTGGCTACCGGTTGTTGTTGAAGATCACTTCGTTGACAAAATCCAAGTCGTTTGAACTGGAAGTAATGATGGAATGGAATGCCCGTTATGCAGGAAGCGGGCAAACACAAGGGCTTTGCTTTTGTGACCATGGGCACTCCGGAAGAAGCACAAGCAGTCATTGCGAAGCTCAATGGGGACGTCATGTGGAGCAGAAGCATCACGGTGAGCGACCTTTTTTTACGTCAACGCTTAAAAGCTTTGTGGTTGAATGAACATGATGAAATTCACACTTTCCGGATGAATTATCTTCAAAAGTACCAAGTACTGGCTGCTTCAGGATCCTAGAGCTGCCCAGTGAAGACCGCTTTTGAGAACATGCTTAGTAGGCAGAACCCATAGAACAGAAACTTTACAAGAAGAGTGTATGCCATCAAATAGGTAGGTCTGTTTATCTTATCCTTGCGTGTCAGATTTGATTTTCACCTCGAATATTACGACTCAACCGTGAGCCTGCCTCAGTGGACTGCATAGGTTCTAACAGCTCTCAGTGGGAGATACAAAAGCATGCTAGTCGAGGCTTTAAGAATGGTTGTCTTGCAGCAATTATAGGCTTCTGGAAGAGTTGTGAGGTGAATAACTGGAAGTGCTTGCAACTAGTAAGGTCTGGATGTCTGCAGAACTGTATACTTCGCACAGTCACAGATTACAGGAGGCTACCTTTCAGTAGCCTGAGAGCTATAGTACCCCTTGCCGGCGGCACGCTTTCCAGATGGTGCAGTTTGACAATATCCCTGTTTCGGTCAGGCGATATGCCAGTCATGCCTTTTACGATAAGCCCTTCATCTCTGTACGCAGGTCAATTATGCGCTCAAGAGTCTGCAACCCGATGCCTCCGCCCGGGAGCGGCAGATAAAAAACGTCGAACGCCTTGCACGTCGCAAAGTCTTTGTTGGAAATCTACACGAAGACACTTCTATTGAAACACTGGAGCAAAAGTTCAGCCAGTTCGGAGCACTTACCAGATCCAAGGTGTGTTTCTGCTCGTCCTTCCTTTTACCACTCTGATACTGTTGTCATGTTACTGAATCAGTAGCTTGTGCTCGTGAACCCCTTACCCATTTGCCATAGTTATATCTCCCTATTGATATGCTCATGGTGAAATGCATTTTCACAGCTTATCTACGACCTAGGTTCTGGGAGGTCACGTGGTTTTGGGTTCATAACGTTTGAGGATGAGGTATGTAATCACTACGGCATTCATTGTAGACTTGCATATTTGGGCCTCAAGATAAGGATTTTGATGCGGTTGATTCTTTGATCTTTTAGGTGTATCGTGTTCTTACATCAATGTAGTATAGTTCGTCATTAGAACGGAATTCCGCTTAGATTGAGTCCCTTTCTAGATTCTAATATTATTCTGTGTGTTGAATTCAGGCTTCGGCAATGAAGGCCATATTGGACCTTGACGGGTCAATCTTGGACGGTTCTGTTATAAGAGTCAATATCGCCAAGTACCCACAGACTGTGTGAGGCTTACTTCGTGATAATCTGTCTGGGGCAGCAGTACTCTTGAGAGCAGTATCTATATCTCAATTCCTTTGAGAGTGCGATCCTTTCAACTGTAAATCAAGTCCCTAGTCACATCTCAGAATCATTTGTGGAATCAGATCCTGAACACGTGGATCTAAGGTTTCTACTCCCATCGAGAGTTTTTTCATTCCAAGAAGGCTCTTGTTGAGAAATCCGTAGGTCGTGACAAGCCCGACATTATTCTTCCTACGGTCACTACTTGCAAGATGTCGATAATGTTCTCCTTTGAGCTTTGTCCGACACTCGCCATTGTTCCAGGTTGAGAGGAACCGTCCAAACGAGTTCAAACTCCTCTTGAAAACAGCCCCAAAGTCAGACCGGAACTGGTGCTGGCAGCCCGTGCAACGATTTTGAAGAGTTTCGAACAGGGGCTTATAGGAAAAGTCGAATGTTCCCATTGTTACTTCTAAAGCTCCTAAAGAGATGTGGGCTTGTTGACAGCCGGTGAGTCACACTGGATTGTACGATACAAGAAGCCTCACAAGTTATTTTTATTTTTGACGATTCCTGGACTCTGCTACCATGGTCCAACCGTGCACGGTATAACTGTCTGCCGCGTGTTTTTCGGCCTGGATCGTTGCGCGATTGAATCTGGTCGGTAGAAGTGTGCGCATTCACGCGTGGAGAATTCACGGAAGAATCCAGCCCCCAGTAGATGGCGGAGCGGGGATCATAGCAGGGTTTTCGGTGTTTGGAGCGACCTACTTTTTAATAATACACTGTGGACAAAGCATGCAGCTCTTCAATATGCTGCCGGGTGCATAATTCTCGGCAATCTGTCGTCTGTAATGAAATAATTTACTTCTCTGTCGGGATGATCAAAGCAGAGACATTCACTTCGAACTAGTTTGAATGTACCAGGATGTAATCTGCACGCTTCACGCCACGGCAGTGTGCATCAAATACTATACTCGGTTTTGAGTTGGAAACAATCAGGTACAATCGAATCTTATTCAAGTAAAGCAGATTACACTAAAAAATATATGCACTTGTCACACACGTGATAATGTTATTAGTCATTGAAATGTTTTATTAACGGCCAGACTAGGGCCACACCCGTTTTTGTTACGGCAGCTAATTACCATGCCTATCCTGGCTTTTGCTACTAGCTTTTGCTACTACTTTTGCGCCCTCCTGCTGCCCAAGCCCCAGCAACGCTGGGGCCGCAGCGGCCACTCGACTGTGCTCTCCTCTATCTCGCGGACGAGCTGGGGTTAAGAGTTGGGTTTGATGGTAGGCGTGCTTTGACACGCAATCAAATGTTTGTATAACACCTGATACTATTATGACAAGAGTAAAGTGTCTGCAAGTGAGAACAAGTCATGTGAGTTGAGGTATAAATAACCTTCCGAAATAAAGACAATCGCATGTATTGAAATACATCCTTTGCAAAATTCTATGCTTGCTTGTAACCCCTCTTCAATAACATACTCATATATAAGATAAGGTAAAATTCCTAAAATGGCAAAAGTCGAGAGCAATAGACCGATGCTGTCCAGTAAAATGCAGTAACTCGAAGATGAAAATGCAAAGAATAAGGGTGTAAGGAGATGCATTCACTCAGTCACGGAGCCAAAGCCGAGAAAAAAGATACAATGTAAGGGCCAAATTTAGAGAAGAATTCTACTAATCCTTGGACAAACAACACCTATTATGTCTCCACCGGTGACTATTATGTATCTTGCATACATATAGATCTCAAACAAGGATGACAATACAGAAAATCATCACCAATTAAATCTATCTTCCATTCAATATGTTTATGATGTCGAACATACTTGATGCAATAATGTGATGATATATAAACATGAGAATGAGCATCTCTCGCAATAGTGTCAATCATAATTTCTTAAAAGATTATTCATGTTTTGTACAAGCACCAGTTGCATCTCTAGAGCCAATAGAATGAAGGTATGTCACTCACATAGTTTTAGGTAGTTGTAGATATTCGCGACATCACTAAAATAAAAAGTTCTTCCAACACAGCGGTTGATGACATGAGTGGCATTATTGTATTCCATCGTATCAGTATTCACAACATTAGCCACATCAACTGGTTCTCTCGGACAATTGTCTAGGATGTGACAATGTACAGTAGTATCACAATCTTCAAAAATAATGATCAACCTCTCAACTCATGAGCTATGTAACAATACTTTGAATATCCAAAAGGATAATGTGCCAAATGTGTCAAAGATGTTGTTAGACCAAACCCAAGTTATGTGAGAAGCTAAAGGTTGAAGTAAACTTAATCCATTAAAGGGGTTCAACGGCTAGATCAGCCCAGTTGTAAACACATCTCTATCACAAGTCTGATACTTTAGATGGATCAGGCCATCTTAATCTATCTAAAGAGGTAGGTGGTGCATGATGGTCATTATCTGACGGACATAGATTAGATATCTCATGTCACTTGATGAAATCTCAAGTCTGGTAGTTTGTTGATGTGTGAAAGATCATGCTATACACCTTTATCTAGATATCACATCACAATGACGCTTTGATAACTTAAACCTGAGCTTGAAAGAGTCAACTGTGTCACAAGGTGGTCATATATATCAACAATGTCACTTATATTTGCAACAAATTGTAATCATATGCAAAAGATGTACAAACAGATTTGGTGTTGCGATAGTCTCCAAGAGAGCAGGAAAGATGGCCTCTGGTGTGTGATGAAAAATAACAGTCCTCCTGAACTATAACAATGGGGCCAAATGGATATAAGAACTACGAGACACCTAACAATCTGCGGAAGGAAAGAGATTACTATGAAACCTAAGGCCAGGAGTATTATCATGATGATATTACTATGCTAAATTTGCATTTACAAGTAATGTAACAATTGCACTACTCCTAATTTGCAAAACGGTGGAAGGGACCGCCGAACCACAAGAAGCCAGGAAAGAAGCAGTCCGCAGTGATAGGAATGTGCGACCGCGTTGTTATGATCAGGGCGATATCTTTCCAACTCCTGTAGAAATGAAGGACGATGGAGTGTGAAGAAGAGTCGCAACGGGCCCATCAGGCACTCCTGAGGACATGCCAGATTGAAAGACACTCCATCATTTTGGTAATCTGCCCTGTCGATATTTGCCCGAGAAAAATATCCGAAGTTAGATGGATGGCCTCTAAAGGTAAACAGCTGTCCCCATCAGGTAACAATGATTTCACGGTCATGGTCTTCGCCAAATTTCTAGCTATCCACTCTAGCATTCAATATGGTCCACCGAGAGCCAAGTGTTGCATGGAGCCCGTGAGAGACGCTGGACGTCGGAGTTTTTCACGGCAAGTACGGCAATCTCGGCATCAGAAGACAACCACGACGCTCAACAGAGGGAAAGTTCAAGTGTGCTAACTTTTTGGCTTACTGCGTCTTTGTCCTTCAGTGAACTTCATTTTGTGTTTCTTGCTTCTGTGTGTTATGGGGATTTGATTTCTGTACGTACGACCCTTTCCAGATCAGGAGCACTTTCGAACACAGTAGGTTTAACTTTCTAAAAAGTCTGTTACTTTGGATCATTTTGCTTAAGATAAACATACGCTTACTTATGATTTTCGGACTTTGATGTAGTTATAAAAAAATTAAGATAAAATGTATGGAAATGGTTTGGTTTCACTAGTTAACTGTATTTACTAAGAGAAATTAATGTATTATGAAAATAATTAGAAAAATAATACACAATGTTTTTTGATGGATTTACGCAGACTTCATATGTAGTTACAATTCCATATCAGTATAAAGTTAAGATCAATAGTGATATTTTGACACATAGATATAACTTGAAAACTTATCATATATTCCATACTCATCAATTTTGTTTTGGATATTTTGAAATTTCTAGATTTGAAAGAACATGTATGCAACATGCACATATCAAATCACATCTAAGTATATATTATGATGATATTACATATTTTGATTGCATGCATAATTATATATTGGTACAAGTGTATCATGATAGATAAATTTAATTTAATAATAAAAAATAAGACTTTATTCATGATCATTGAGATGAAATTTAATTTTTGAAATTGAACCAATTCATTTTTTATTTCAAAGAAATAAATTTTTTTTACTCACAGAATTTAAAAATTAAAACTTTAAAACTCAAATATATTTTTTGTCATGTAATTCATTATTTACTAAAAATAGACGTTGAGCTAGGGTTTATGTTCCTGGTGGTTTTATGGTTGACTACGCCTCGAAGAACGTAATTTTTTCAAGTCGAGCTTGGTAGCGTTGGGAGTAAAGGGACTGTCCGCAAGCATCGATCTGGAGTCTCTTCGGAGTGGGTTGGGCTCGACTTAGGTATGTGACGGTGACAATTTTGTTGCCAGTGGGGTAATTAAGACCAACGTGTTTTCAAGTGAAAAAAAACACGTATTTTCACTCGAAGAATTGAGTACACAGAATCGATCGGTGTTTGTTGTTAGGGATTTGTTCAACGTTGTTTTCTTAGTTTCTAGAATCCGTACCAGAAACAGCATTGGTTTTACCAAAAAAAGTGACCAGATATTATGTAATTAGAGAAATTGATTCTTCGAAGGTAGAATTGCAATTTGACGGTGTTGAATGGGGTTGCAGATGGTTGTGGCTACGGTGATTTTCTATGAGGTTGTAGAGTTACGGATCTTGAAATTTTGGTTCTAAGCATTAGGTTTGGTAAATCTCTACTCTGCTCTCGAATCAAGTGTGTGTGAAGATCCAGAGTTAGCTTTAACAGTCTTGAAATAGGTGTTGATTCGCTGCGGAAGCTAGTGTCGAGAGTTTGAAGTCTGTTGGAGTCACCTACAAACATTTCATGGATTTTACTGCACATTGACAATCGATAGTTTGAGAGATTTGGACTGGAATATTTAGAATTTTGTAAGATAGAGGGACGTAATGTTTTCACCTCAGTTTTGGGAACTCTGAAAATATCATATGAGAGTTTAGTTATAGAAGCTAGTTCAAGGTGGAAAATCCGATGTCTTCATTCCTCGGACCCATGTAAATAACTGCACTCTTTGCATGCATCAATCTCTTCGTCCTTGGTTTCGATCACTCAGATTTGATTTTCCGGCTACCTCAGTGATTGTTTTCCCTGCTTCTTAATGTTGAAATTAGAAGTATGCGGGGCATCATTTCTGCTACAGCGGTTGCTGGTGGCAGATCAATCCTCTGATACAACTTCGTAATCAAATCTCGCTCGCTTTTGAGAGGAGGGCATTGTGGAGGCGCACCGGGACATGTGACACCTGCTTGTCATGGTGGTCAAAAGCTCATTTCCGTATGGAGGTGGGTGATGTGGAATCAGTTTTCCCGTTTTCCAGTTTTAATCTACTAAGTAATAAGTCTTGTTAGGAAGACTGAAGTTAATTCATAAAACTGTGGATGTTGTCTACGCCTTGAAGAGGCAGGGAAGAACCCTGTACTGTAAGACCGGATGTTGTATGTATGAAATAAAATTAGAAATAGCCAAGGAGTTAATCATGGTTAACCTAGTTATGACTAAGTCAAGCTAGTTATAACTAAGTTTATCAAGTTATAACTAAGTTTATCAAGTTATAACTATGTTTAGCTATAATATATATACTCGGAGTAATAACTAGAGAAATCTAGAAGATTTGATTGATCATTTTTATTTTGTCTTGTACAAAAGTCTAGATTTCAAGAAAAAATACTTTTGACATCATGTTTAGTTTTGATTGGTTTGATTAAGTAAGAAGTACTCCATTGGTTAGACTAAGTCTAAAGTTGACTTAGTGGCAATTGAAGGTTCTAGAAGTTGGAAAGTCACAAATAGCATGTTGCCACCTCAATCTAGGGATTAATAAACATATAGAAGGTTTAGGAGTCAGATGGCATGTTGCAA